AGACTGATGATGACAAACCACATAAATGCAAACATTAGAATTAATCAATTATTGCAATTTATGCATTTTTTGCGATATGCATTGCACTGGCTGTTATCATGATAATAAATTTGCGATATATTGTGCAGCCCTACTCAAAATAATCTTAAAAAACACCAGATTTTTCTCTACAGTCTGCTGTATTGGAGCAAAGCTCTGTTCACATGCAGAYATTCCCCTTTGACATCACTTCYTGTTACTTGACATACGAATATCTCAACAACTGTTCATCTCARCRGTGTGATTTTTGKGGGGCAATATAGCAWTAATGTCCAAGTATCCAAAAACGCATATATTTMTTATAAAAGATGTGATATCACGGCACTTCAAGGTTGCATCAAACTGAGTAAACCCAGTCTCAGAGGTTCAACRGTAATGATGGAATACTCCAGAGTAGGGCAGCAAATGATTTTCAAAACTATCAAATACAAAACAAAGTTATACAAGTGTGTTATAATATATTCATTAATTTCCACCCAGGACGCTGAGTATTAAKGAGCCAACCACCCCTCACACTTCAGCTACTTTCAGTGTGAACAGTTTACGGCCCAGAAGTGACCCAACATCACACAACACGTCAGCATGTGTGTATCACTTCTGAAGGTGCTGTGTGATTGATTAAATTATTATTATCTGCCATGTTTGTTTCCTTTTTTACATTTGAGCTTTCAGCTTCCCGCCTGGGAGCGATGACAGTTAAGGACAGAAACAACCTCAAGTATCATTTGCATCACGCTAGCAGCATCAATAAGATCACATACCACTGTTGACCATGTTGGTTTAGATTCAATTATCTCAATATGGAAAAACCAAAATGTTACGTAAAACAAAGCAAACGTAGCAGGAGAATTATCTTCCCATCTCAGGAAGCTTTTAACATGTCTAAATTGGAGAAGCTTTAAAATGCACCAACAAAATCAATAATTGCATCAATCAGCATACCCCTACTTCTATGATGTGTCAGGAGAAATGAGACGACCTTTCAGATCAAAAACGCTTTTAAAAACATTGAATAATATCTGGTTTAGTACCACATATTAAAGTGACCTGGGTGTAGTTTAAAATAAAAACAAAACTGATTTTGTGACTTTGAAACCATCATAAAAAACATCAGATTTTGGCCACTTTTGCCTGCAGTGTGAGTAGCTTTTGTTTCWTTCACCACTTCCTCCATCTCTTCCAGGAAGATACCAATATTGTTCCAGCAAGTGCATATTTATTTCCTCTCAGAAGAGCTTACTGCTTATCCTGAGCAAAATAAGAAAGTGGTTTGCCGCATTGTTTTTCTTACATCAAACTCAGATGCAGACTTTGGTTAGTCGTTATATTGTAAAACTCTTGTGCCTGAGGGCCAACAGGCTGCAGTCCTTTCAAGACTTTTGGGAACATGCAACAATTGAAATGCTTAAAAGGACAAGTATTATAAACAAAGCATGACAATGAACTTCCTACCATGATTAAAGCAGCAGCAAAGTCTTTGAATAGCCCCTCTGAGTCACGCTACAATATCCTGCTGAGGAAGGTGTACTATGTAAACAACCTTATGCAGTAATAATAAAAAAATAATAAAAGGTCATGGATTTTATCAGGCAACATTAAGAAATCTTTTTATAACTGAAGCMAAGCTTAACTTCAATTTAAAAACCAAATACACACACAGTTTTTATCAGCCAACTCATGAGATTATATAAAAGGGTTGTACAGCAGAACAAAGAGGGGGAAAACAAATTATAAAAGATAGTTTTTGTACAATTTTATAATCCAACATCAAACATTATGTTAAGGAAGTTTGTAAAACCTTTTCTAAATTACCTTCAGGGTAAATATAAACATGTAAACGTTTAGCTGACTGAAGTTAAAAGAAGATTAGGGTTTCATCATATTAGAGCTGCACGATTTATCATTTGAGCATCGTCATCTATGTGCAAYACTGCAGGTCCTGCCACGGTGCAGGCAAATTAAATCAACGTCTTATCTACAGACTAAACTACTAAACGGCTGCGTGCTAAGACTTTTATTTTGACGGGTTGCTTCCGCCAATGGAAGCAGGTGTCTTCGTGTCAAATTAAAAGGCTGGAACTTTCATTTTGTTGAGAAACTTTTGGGACAATTATGGCGACGCTTTTCAAAGAAGCGTCTGCGAATTCTCGATCTGTGGAGGAAGACGACTAGGATCTTGACGAAAACGAGGAAGATTAGCAAAGTCGCAGAGAACTGGAGGAAAAGAGGTAAAAMACATGAATGCTAATAAAGGAAACAGAAACTGAGATAGACAGAGGTAAGAAGGGAAGTGGTATAATGCAATTCAAGTTTGAACATGATAGCAGGAAACATGAACTCCCAACATAATATAAAAGGTAAGAATAACTCAAATAGACAAAAAACATGTGTAATAAAAACAAAAAAGAGGTCATTGTCAACAACATGGCAACAAAATTTTAAGTATTATTCAAGTCGTCTGTTGAAAAATCCTATATTTTTTTCATATTGCAATATATATTGCAGGGTAAAAAAAATAAAATAAAAAAAAATCACAAAATCGTGCAGCCCTATTACACACAATAACGTATCCAAAAGCTCAACGAACACACAGAAAGGTAAGTATCTCCTACATTATGTTCAAAATATGGCTGCAACAATACATGTAACCCGTATTAAACCATTCAATACAGATTTTTAAAATTTATTTTATCAACTTCTGAAGATGCTCTGTGTTGAAGGATCAGTGGATCTGTGTTCGACTACTCCACCTAGGCTGCATTTCTGAGCGCAGATCCACTGAGAAACTTGCCGTTTCAGCAACATTTAATTTAAAAACTGTACTTTTGAAGTTAAACAAATGTTCATAATTATTTTCAATAATTACAAGTTAAAAAGGGCATGGAAATTTATCTTTTTTTGTATCGAAAAAATATTGAACCGAACCGAATCATGAATYCTCGGTATCGTTGCACCCYTAGTTCCAAATAGTAAATCTAAAACAAAGCAACAATAAAATCCTTGCTCAGTAAAGGAAGTACATAAATAATTTTAGATGACAATATGACACGGATATACTTTACCTCAAGACAAAAATAAATAAATACGGGCTCAACTGGTGTTCCACTGAAGAGCTAATTTATTTTAGCATCCTGTCCACCAGCAGGGCGAAGCTGTGTCAAAATCAAATCATAAGAATATTCTTGCTTTTAGTTTCACAATCTGTTCTTCTAAACTGTGCTTAAAAAAGTGACCTGCAACAAGAATTACCATATGCACGCATTACTCACACTCCACTAAACACTCCAGCTGACAAAGCTGATGTGATTTGTCGATGCGTAAAAGAAAAAGAAAGAAAGAAGAGAAACTGGAAACAAAACGACGACAGTAGGGGGCAGGTTGTTTCAGACAGTGCACTCGTCTTCAAAATCAACACAACAAAACTAATTAAGTCACAACATCTGCTTCAAAAATAAGAAAACAAATCACTAAATCAAAAAAAATAATTAGTTTTTCTGTTCGGCAGAGAAAAAAGAAACAGAAAATATATTTGCTCACACATCCTCATCTGAATGATTAACTTGGACTGAGTGGAAAAGCCTCTATCAATAATTAATTACTGCACAGTTTTATATTTAAAAACAGATGAATAGAAGAAAACACCATGTCATAAATCAACCAACTTCAGCCCAAGCTCAARCTACTGTTAAACAGGCCTCACAGAGGAGGAATGGCCGGAAAGTGACTACCAGATTCAACCATGACAGTGCTGCTAAGAATAAACTTATTTTTTAAAGGAAAATCTGGAAAAAAACGCACACTTAAACATCACAAAACTAGTTCCCTCTGTTAATGTTAAGACTTAGTCACACTATATCATTCTGAAACTGAAACAGGAGAAATGCTGAACGTTAAAAATAAAAAAGGGTCATCATTTAACACAAAATGATAGTTTTGCTTTTACTAATGTGGCTGTTCTGAACAATGAAATTGTGTTTTAAATAAAAAAAAATACCTTTAAATTAAGAGATTAGTTACATTGTGGCTTTATATATAAATCTAACTTGCACCAGGATGTTACAAAAAATWATTAAATACAGAAAAGGGCTAGACACCTCATCTTCAGAGGAGAAAAAGTATACGACACTGTGTGTACTCTGAGTATATACAGAAAAAGAAATGTTTAAAAGTGAGTTTATATATTAAAAGTAAACTTGAATGTAATATCTCTCTAATAATCTGGTGAACCAATGCGCCTTACTGCTCCTGATTTTTTAATACTAACATGGTTATAAAACATATAGGCTTGAATCATAAAAAGGTTACTAATTATCAACTAATTATCAACAAGCAAAACTAAGTTACTACCTTGACATGTGGGGCTGTAATAACACACTTCCTGTTCCAGTATGAAAGCTTGTTTGGCTGTCAAGTAAATGGTAACACGTGTTGATTTGAGTGCATTGTCAATTTAATGAGTACTTCACAAAAAAAATAACCCAAATCTCTTTACATTGAGATGCCAAGGCTGTTAGCTTCAGTCACACATAAAAGCAGAGACATTTAAAGCGAAGTGTGGACATTTTTGAGAGCAATCAGTCGAGTTAGTGAGAGCTAAATGTGTTAAGTCCCATTGTGTTGTACTAGTTCATCTCTGTTGTTGACCTAAAGTTCAAACACTTCCATTGGGCCTGCTGGCAACGAGAATTTCGGCGAAATGTTGCTGGCATGATAGGTACCGACAGGAATCGTTCAAACCCCAAAACATCCCTGCTAATCAGGCAAGTTGTGGAGACATAAAGGATGCTGTCAAACTCACCAAAACTAACACGGCGTCACAACCGCACATGCAGCCGGTTAACACCAATTTAAAGGCTGGTAAACTYCCGAAAAGATTTAAAGTCTCACTCTCACGCAAATCCACGCGACCAGTCCACGGAGCTCAGTGGGTGAAAAGCTAAACGTTAGCACGGCACAACTTCCAGGGAAACCTTACTTCCATCTAGCATGTAGCTTACAGCGCTAACATTAGCTAACTAACTTACCGCTAGCTCGCAGCGAGGCACATATAAAACATTAACAGACCCGAAGCCAATGCGCAAACTGTTGCAGAACAGAAATAAAATAGTACCCTAAACACTCCGTGTGCCCAACAAGTCGTGAGCAAGTCGTTTATGATCTGTTTTTCTTATAATTAATGAGTTAGCCAACTTGGCTAACGTTACCTTAGCTAGTTCTTCTCGACTAGTTTTCCTGCAGAGAAGAATCGTGTCGAATTTGAATGTAGCTCCTCTTTTCAACTTCACTGGCATCGGTCACATGCTAGCTGGCTCCACGACTGATGTGGACGTTGTTTACAGCACAGTAAAAAGACGCAGACTTAAGGCAACAAACTACAAAAAACTGTGTGCCTCACCGAGGTTTATATATTTCAGCTGCAGAGAGAAGCGGTAGCATGTTTAGCAGCGGCTAGCCGCGGCTAGCTAGCTGATTGTTCCGCGCATAACTTTGCGGGTAATATTTTTGGGTGTGCAGCCGACAATTATGGCCACGCACGTTTTTTCATGTGCGCGCGAAGGAATTCGAGCTGAACTGTTCTRCATAAACACCTAAACAGGGGTACATTTTATAAACAGCTGCTTCWTCTTTTTTTTTTTTAAAGCTCGAGAATGAAGACATACCTCACTTCCGTAAATTTGCTGCACGCTCGGCCGCAGCCATGTTTTCAATCCCAGTCCGGTGTGTGTGTGTGTGTGTGTGTGTGTGTGTGTGTGTGTGTGTGTGTGTGTGTGTGTGTGTGTGTAGCCGCTCCTGTGAAACTCCCATTGAGGCAA